GTAGTAGTAGTAGTAGTAGTAGTAGTAGTAGTAGTAGTACGAAGCGGCGCATCACGTACGGGCAGCAGGGTCTACCGGAGGTCCAGGAGCGTCCGCATTGGCGGCTCCAGTAGGTTGCGGTTCGTCCTCCACAGCCACTGCGGCCAGCCAGGCCGGCTCCCCGCCCATGGTTAGCTGTTCCCGTAGCCATATGTAACCGAGGAAGGCGGCTAACGCGATGATTACAATCAGAAAGCCCTGCAAATGGGGAGGGGGGAAGACAAAAGATAGGCCGATGAGATCTAGCAACTACGGCGAATGACACCAACACAACCCCGCAGTCGGGAAGGGTTGCGTAAGGAAGGCTAGATTTGAAGGCCAAATTGAAGGAGTAAGTAATTAGCATCTACGGAAATGAAATAATTTGTATCAGGTGGGAGGTCGCAAATCTCCACCATTGACAGAGAAATAAGAAGAAAATGAATGGGTAAATGGGTATGTCAACGATTCGGCTTCTTAAAAACGCGAAAGTCAGTCTGAAAGTTCTTCTAATTATCGTCGAAAGGCTTCATTAATTTGTTACCTAGAGATCGGCTCTCTTGGGAAATATGTCTGCAACCTAATGTGGCCCGTAGTATTGATTTCAACCGAGCTGTTTTAAAGACTTGGTGTTACTCAACACTGAGATATTAATGAGTAACATTTGGTGTTCTGGGGGCATGCTTCACCCCCTCCAGGAAGACGTGATGATGGCGTGTAAACAAGGACGAGAGGATGTAGCACGTTTTAGATGATACAGTGTGACGGTTTTTATGTCAAAATCGACGAGGATAGGCGCCTGGTGTGGTGGGTAACATCTAAGAAGGTCATGGATGATTCTGCGTAGGCACAAGTTCACTAGGGTTGTAGAAGAAAAAACGCGAAAAGTACACCCCGTCTAATTAGATTTTATCACTATCTTTCTTCTGTAAACTAACTATTGGATGCCAGATAAATACAGTTCGGGCTGAACCTCGTGCGAAATGCCGAAATTTCCGAGGGATTGACAACCATTCGCAAACCGACATTAACGCAAACTTACCACAAACCTCAAATTAATAATGAACAAGCTTGAATGAATTTAAAATCTAAAAAAAAGTATGAAATGTACTAAATATCACATATAGAAATATCACATTAAAAAAGCTCCAAGTTCTGAAAGTGTGAAAAAATAGCTATAAATTTGACTGGCAAATGTAAATATAGTCGGTTTGGTTCTATCGTAGTACATAGCATAAAACATATTCCACATCAAAAAATCTCCGATTTCGCCAAAATGCTGCCTGTTACCCTTAAAGGAACTAAACTAAACGAGTTGTTTTCCATAGTGAAACGCTTTATCAAGATCGGATCCAGTCATTAGGTCAAAATAACGAGACTAAACTAGACTACCAAGTCCAATTTTGACTATGATTTTGCATGAGTTAGCTAGCCTACTGGAGGTTGTCACTCAGAAAAATTTCTGATTTCTCCGCAGTAACTGAGATACGTGCGGTAGGTACAGTACGCAAATGATTAAACCGAATATGTGTCTTCAGCCTCATTATACCATAGGGAATGAGATAGCAACTTGCTAAACATAAGCCGAAGATGGCAACCCCCCTGGTAAATACAGGAGGATAGGGCGGATGATGTATGACTACCTCATAAAGAAGCCTGCCCAACTTTTAGACAGTGTGGTAGGTAAAACGCAGAAAATAAGAGGGTAAACACGAGGCGAATTGGCTCGCCCGATCTTATCGCCCCTCGGTATTCACTCCATCCGACCACCGGCAGCAGATGGGAGAT